TGTTTGGATATTATCTCTCTATTGTCTTCTTGGTCTGCGACCATTCATCTCCCTTGTGTTTACAGTTTTTAATCTCTCTGTCATCTGACATTCTTTCAATATGCCCCCAACCATTTCAGTCTATTAGCTCTCATGATGGCATTGTCAATGGTGAATCAAAGAGATTATGAATTTCCTTGTTGCTTTTCTCTCCATTCCCCACTATTTGCATCTCTGATGGGTCCAAAGATTCGGCGTAGACTGTTTTCGAAAATTTTTAATAAGGCTTTATCTTTTTTTAGCAAGTGAATGCTAAGAAGATTTAAAATTTATTACCATATTTAATTGGATTGCATGATCTGGGAGTAAAACATGGTGAAGCATGTCTATGCCGCTTTCAAGGTTCAGATAGAAGAAATTAGAACCAACTCCTCATGGGAACAATAGGTGGTTACATAGAATTGCTCCTGCATCAGAGGACGACACACATGGGAATGCCAGTGTGCAGGGACGTGGACTGTGATAACATTATTATTAACACACTTAAACAAGGCCTATCTCTCTGAGGCATTAGTAAAAGCAGCCGAGCCCAAACACAATCTTTTTTCTTTGTGTCAACAGCCTTGAGCTAGAGGAGAAATAAGACAATCAGGCATGGGAGGATAAGAATTAGAGGGAATTAGACTTCTACGGTGACACAGGGTCTGCTGGGAAGACAATATCCAACAGTTCTGACTGACAGAGGACTCAAATGGAACAAAAAGCCAGAAAGAAAACTGCAGATAGAGAAGTCTGGCGATCTCTCTGGCAAACCTCTATATCCCAGGGTATAAGAGGATCGACTAAGTAAGTAAATAGATCCAGGCTGATCATTACAGCAAGTTACTTAGCAACTGCAGGGTGCTCCCAAAATGACTGTTTTAAACTGGTTGAGCAGTTTCTGGGAGTTTAGTCATTGAGATTCATATCCTTATTTTTCTTCTTCGTATTTACTGGCTGTAAACACCTGTGGAAAGCACTTGTTGTACGCCCCTTTCTGTACTTGTCCAAAACATAAGTTTTGCATGCACATCCATTTTATGGATCTGGCTTTTTTGTATGTAGGCCATTGGTTCCTAGTCTCTCAGGCAAATGTACCCAGACTTCGAAGGAAACACTCTTATCTAGGCGACAAATGTTTGTCACAGGGGGCAGTTGGTCTATTTTTGTTACTCCACAATGGGAGCCCTGCATGAGGAAAGCCAAAATCAATTTTGAAAACCGTCTGATCTGATTTAAACTGAAGACAATCAGGCTTGCAGGCGAGCGTCTAGCTACCACACTGCTGTAGCTCACCTGACTAGTTTATTTTGCATTAACACATTTATTGGTACTTTCACTGTAGCTCACCCCAAACACCAGCAAAGCCCAATATTATAGGGGTGTCAGGGTTAGCATTAGTCGGCCTTCATTTCAAACCCTAACACCCCTACAATATTGGACTTTCTCGTGTATTCTGGGGGGTTCCCCATGTTTGGGGTGAGCTAAAATGAAAATATCCATAATTTTGGTTTCCTTTGTAATTTTTCTTCATATATGAAGCTCGTAAGTAACATTATTCTAAAAAAAAAAAACACCTATTTCTATCTATCCTATCGATCATCTTTCTCTGCTTAACTCTTTACGGATGTTTAGCCAGTATACTGGCGATTAAGTCTATCCCTTAAAAGCGTAAAGCCAGTTTACTGGCTCATGATAGAGACACTCTAATTTTGTTCCGTTCGTAGGGAAAACAAACTTTTATGAATAAGTTTTTTAACAATTAGGATTAAAAACATGAAGTACTTTTATTTGCGACGTTCACCGTGGTCGATGCATTATTTTGTGATTTAAAAAAAAATTATTTATATGGGATACAATTTTTACGTGATTTTTCTATACTAAATGATAAGGGAAAAGGTATAGAACTGTTCATACTGCTCTATCGTTGATGAATCCCCAACAGTCTTGATATTATGATTGATATATAAGGGACAAATCTACTAGCGAAAATTTAGTTTAGGATATGAAAATTTAACAAAATATTTCAATTAGTCAATGTTTCGATCAGCTGTTTTTCAGATTTTTGGTTGTTGTAAAAAGTGACATGTCATACAAAAATGATTATAATATCCAAAGTATTTAAATTAATTGTTTCAAATAAAGACTAACTAATACATAATTGAACAGAGAAGGCATGTGTATTCTTAGAATTGGATAGCAGTGTTGCTGAACCAGTAAAAAAATAAGGTTAGCACACAATTGTTTATGTCAAAAATTTTCATATGTGTCTAACATCCTTGAATGTTGTGTGATTTTAATAATATTTTGATGTTATACTGACATTTAAGTAGTTTAGATTTATTCTGCACTCAATTAACTTTAATTTGATATATAAGTCCCGATAGAGCCCATACTTGTTCTTCAGGAAGGTTTTAGCTTTGTCGTGTTGCACTAAAAAATTCAGCTTAAAATTAAAAAAAAAACACCAGAAAAAAATGCCGTCCTAAAAGAGTTAATGCTGTTAGGTGTAGCAGCACAGCTAATGAACGCTTTTCTCTCAACCATCTTATTTTATTTCACAAGTCATTAACTTCCGCTTTTGTTCTTTAGTCGATGCCCAAATTTGGCATTCAGTAACACAGTGTTGGTTAAAAAAACCTGTGTTTCCATTTGTATTGTTGGATGCTTCAGTGTTGATCTATAAAACACCTTAATTAGCACCTCAAAACCTGAACAACAAAATACTGAACGTTAAATACCTGTAACATTTTTTTAAATAATTAAATTAATAGAAACTAGGATCTAAAAAATGATGACACAATTATCAAATTAACGATACGAAAGGATTAACATTATGTTAAACGTTTACAGGAACTTCTGAAGAACATGGTTTATAATCATCATCATGTAGCATTTCAGCTGCCTGGAAGAAACTCTGTCTCTCACCAGCTCTCCCACCTCCTGCACTTTCATACCCAAGGAGCCACTTATATCCTGTGTCCATCTTTGTACTGGTCGGCCCCTGCCCCTCCTTCCTGGCACCATACCTTCTGCTATTTTCTGTGTCAATTCGCCATGGCGCTTGATATGGCCAAAATATGTCAGCTTCTGAGACAAGATGCTGTTTACCAGCCAATCTTCCTTGATGTTATACAACAATAATGGTTAACATTAAAGCAAAAGTATAGGCACCCATATGGGAAACAAAGAGGACCAGCAGTGTAACAAATCATACATGCCATAAGGGGCTACTATGAAGGATTGGCATTAAGGTTGCCTGTCCCACTCCATTGAAAACCTTAATTGCAAAATCCAACCATTCACACTCAAGTCCACAAAGAACGTGGCGTCAGTTTTTTTATTAGTGTCTCTGCTCGATTCAAAAGTAAGAGGCGGAAGAAGACAAGTGGGAAAAAAAAAACAGGCCTTTTTCCATGCCTTCAAGCATATTGGGCATACAGTGCTAAATCTATCTCTTAGAGATCAGTCAGTACTTGGTGGGTGATATGGTCAACTTCCCGCTGGTCACCTTTACTTCCCAGGTCTTTACCCGCTATTCTTAAAGCTGTGTCTATCTGAGAGCTAACATTATATTTTAATAAAGTCCAGTTCTGCTTGGATTTGAACCCATGACATTAGGGTCCGCAGACAAGTGTCTAGCTGCTACATCATGGTAATTACCAAGAAGAATAAGAATATGCAAACTAACAAATAAAGTTTTAAACAAATCAGAGGGTCACAGAGGTCATAACCTGCACTTGGCCACGACCTTGCTTGTATCAATCCCAGGAGTGGCAGGTCCACAGACTGGGATTCCAACCATGCTAACGTTCCCAGGATCACCAGGCTTCTCAGTGAAGTTAAAAAAATAGGACAGTAGAACCTCAGGGTTTAGATCAATATGGAAATCCGTTTTCAGGACATGAGGTCATGCTCAGAATTTTTTTTTGGGTTGGGTGCTCCAGAACACGAGGCAAAATCCAGGGATGTGGGCTCGAGAGGCAAGAACCCTCATCATTACCCAATAGCATTGGGACGACTTTTAAAAAGATTTGGGCAGGTTAACACTGCCGAAGAGTGACGAGCCAATCGACAAGGCACTTGATGATAATGAAGGACTGTAGCATCACGGTGGGAAGTAACCCTGTTTTCCACTGCCGGCAAACACAGTGCCACACAAATTTTCCTTTAACAAAACCAAAAAATGCCACTCTGTTTTTGATTTTTGGAGGGCTCTAACAAATTAACACTATTCACATTAATTGTAAAGAGCAAAAATAGTTTAAGGATACAAGTTATTACTGGCTGGTTCCTGTTCTAAGAGACGGTAGAGTCCTATGCTACATGGATCCACCAGAGATGAGTATTTTGGCAACCCAGTCAAGAGAAAGCATCTACACCAGCCTCACCGTAATGAAGCTTTTTCAGGTATACTGAACATCAGCAGACTGATGTCAGCACATCAGTCTCAACAGTCAGAGCTCAGTCTTGCAGCACATAAACTTGTGATGACCACAGTATTATAAGTCTGTCACTACTGTTCAGCACAGACATTAGTTGACAGAGAAATTTCTGTGTGGGTCTCAGAACCTTATAGTGGGGGGGGGGGGGGGGGGGTATGTATGTGGAAAATAACATTGGGACCTACATAAGTGCTACCTCAGTAACAATGATGCATGAAGAAAAAAGAATTGACCTACAGCTTTCTAAGCAGCAGGATGGGAGGGAAGGGGGGGGGGGGTATGTATAGCAACTAATCAGTGGTTTGCTTTAAGGTGCAGATATCACAGCCCAGCTGTAAACCCCAACATAGCTTCCAACCACCCTTTCAAGGACACATGCAGAAGAAGATAAAGAACCCACAATTGTCATGTGACTGTCATCACTGGTCAACAAACGAGAAGCCAGTTGGTAGAAATCCAGCCAGAAACACCTTCCAACACTGTTCATCCTAAGACATCTACCGCAGATGTGCCACAGTCAACTATGACAGCGGCTACCTACTGCTGCTGTTCTTGAATTTTCATCCTGATCCTGGCCGCCATCTGCTCCAAGTCTGGCTCTACGAAGATTGTCAGGGCCTCTTCCACGTACAGCAGGGATTCTGGGTAGTTTTTCTGTTTGTACATGGCTCTGTGGATGATAGAACATGGGGACGTTCATCAAGTGCTACCTCAGTAGTGATGATAGAAACATGGGACATTCATCAAGGGCTACCTCAGTAGTGATGATAGAACATTGGGACATTCATCAAGTGCTACCTCAGTAGTGATGATAGAACATTGGGACGTTCATCAAGTGCTACCTCAGTAGTGATGATAGAACACTGGGACATTCATCAAGTGCTACCTCAGTAGTGATGATAGAACACTGGGACATTCATCAAGTGCTACCTCAGTAGTGAGGACAAAACACAATCATCAAGTGTTATCTCAGTAATGAAGACATAATACAATCATCAAGTGCTAACTAAGCAATGAAGACATAATACAATCACTAAGTGCTAACTCAGCAGTGAATAACAGAACACAATCATCAAGTGCTACCTCAGCAGTGAATGACAGAACACAATCATCAAGTGCTAGCTCATCAGTAGTAGATGTAAACTGGGGCTTTGGGCTCACCTGACTCACCTCAACCATTGATCTAGCTCGCCGTTGCCCACTGCGAGCCTCCAGCTACCCACTGGCTCAGCTCAACATTGAGCACTCACCTCAAACATTGATCTAGCTCGCCGTTGCCCACTGCGAGCCTCCAGCTACCCACTGGCTCAGCTCAACATTGAGCTAGCTCGCAGTGGGCAACGTAGTGAGCTACAAACACGCAAACATAGTGGGGGCCCCACCCCCCAGGGGCCCCGCCTGAACCCGTCGGTCAATTGAACAGGTGTGTGGTGTGCTGTATACACCTAAGATGGGAAGAGAGTACAACGAGTGTCAGTGGTTGATATTAGGCTCGACGTGTCGATGTAGTCGCAACTGTGTGGGGGACTATTGTAAAATACACAATGCCCTTCGGAAAAAGGGAGGTGGCACCCGCAAGTGTGTTCTATGTGGGGTCGGAATAAAAAACCAATACGACATATGCAAACATTGTGGATATGACATGGCCTATAAGAGAAATTGGATGCGCAGTTTCAGAAGCTATCAAACCGAGTGCAGACGATTGGGGGGCATCGAGATTCCCAGTTAGAGAGATGTGGTGTCTTATATATACCACTCAGACATCATGACATTTCATCAAAGGGCCCGTCATGAAGATTGGGACTGGAGTCGAGCACAGAGCATCCTGGATGAACCCATACCCAAGGAAGTAAAGAAACGGCTAGATAAGTCTCTGATCCCATCTCCCAAATTGACAAACCCACCTCCATATAAGGTCTATGAAGAAGTCGGTATACTACGAAGGTTTACGGCAAGGGTACCCCTTTCACATAAACTTGAGAGAGATGTCTTTGGCTTTCTTACGGCAATGCACGAGAACAGTGCCCGCGTGCTAAAGTCGGAACTAAGACGCCTTGGTCCGATTAAGATGTACCAGAGTCTCACGGTAGACTATGAAAAGCCTGGTACAGACGGCGAGATAATTGAAACAACAGCCTATCATACTTCCAGAGCAGTCCCTATCCTTAATGAAGGAGACATCCAACCAGCTCTAGCACAGGCCACAGCGAAGATGAATGCCGATCATGAGAAGTTTATGAGAGAGGGCAGCGGTTGGACAATAAAACGTTGTGTGAAGCTAGATTTGTCGACAGCCCAGAGTACCGACCACTGCGAGCTAGGGGGTACTTTAAAAACCCCTAAATACATTCCCCCCCGCACTGTTGTAAATGTTAAGAACAACGATAACCGCTGTTTCGAA